GCTGCTCGACCATCGGCACATGTTTGCGTTTGCGCCCGGTGAGAGCGGCCCTGATTCTACTGACTACTTACATCTGTATAGGAGCATTCACTATCTCATGTCTGTGTCTCCGCCTCCTTTTACCCTCATGAAACCCATCACCCACCACAGGCTTCTGCAAAGTGACAGGACTGTTCAGACCCAAGGGACAAGACTATTAATGAACAGCCATTTCCCTTTTATATGAATGTCCCCTGGCAAAGGTGACTCCCAACCCCTGCCATCTTTCAACCTACTGGTGACTTAGCCCAGAAAAGCATGTACACATGTCTGTCTGTTTATAAGCACGCACCACAACTAAATGCAAGGCACACTGCATTCTCTAACACACTAAAATTCCATGTCACTGATGAAGTCAGAAGCCATTGATGACTCAGCCCCCACCAACCTTACAAAGAGTTCTTGGCCTCTGGATGGCTAATACATTGGTTGTCAACTTGGCTATGTCTGGAATTAGCTAACCTGACTGGGTACACCTGTGAGGATTTTTTTTTCCCTTAACTGAATCATTTGAAGTGGGAAGGCCTACTTTTAATCTGTATCTTCTGAGGTGGGAAGATGCACCTTTAATCCAGATCTTTTGTTTGTTTGTTTGTTTATTGTTTTGCAAGACAGGGTTTCTCTTTTTAACAGTCCTGGCTGTCCTGGAAGTCACTCTGTAGACCAGGCTAGCCTTGAACTCACAGAAATCTGCCTGCCTCTGCCTCCCGAGTGCTGAGATTGAAGGTGTGCACCACCACCACCTGGCTAATCCAGATCTTTTGAGGTGGGAAGGTTCAGCCTTATCTGGGTCACACTTTCTTGTGGCAGTTTATATAAACGAGGAAGGAGGAATTCTGCCTCCTTGCTCTCATTGGCAAGTCCATTTGTTCACTGGCATTAGAGCCTCCCTTTTTGAAATTCTGGCCTATACTAAAGAACAGCTGAGATGACCAGCTTCACAAACTGAACAGCTACTATATTCTGGGACCTTCTGTGCATAGATAGCCATTGTTGGCTAGCTGGAACACAGTTTGTAAGTCATTCTAATAAACCCATACATATGCATGTGTGTATATGTAAAGTATTTATCAAAATACATATGTGTGTATTACATGCGTATGTGTGTGTTTGTGTGTGTAAATGTGTTCTGTGCCGCTAGAGCAGTGGTTCTCAACCTGTGGGTCACAATCCTTTTGGGGGTCCTATATCAGGTATCTTGCATATCAGATATTTACATTATGATTCCTAGCGGTAGCAAAATTACAGTGATGAAGTAGCAATGAAATAATTCCATGGTTGTGGGTCACCACAGCATGAGGAACTGTACGGAAGGGTTGCAGCGATAGGAGGTTGTGAACCACTGCTCTGGATGGAGCACCCTGACCAACCCAGCTTCCCTTAGTTTCTGTTTTTCTTCATGTTCTTTAATAGTTCATAAAGTGAAGATATAGAGAATATTTCTTGCTTGCTTCTCATTCTAAAACATTTCAGTTATTCCAGAAAGGCAAGACATGGGCATCTCTGATGCAGATTAAAAGAGAAATCAAGGCCTGGCAAGCAGACACCAGTGCGGGTAAGGGTGGAGTGACAGGTGATTAAAGGCCTGGCAAAAGAAGCAGAATTTTGAACAGGGAAACTGTTCAACTGAAGCCTCAGACAGAGGCCTCAGTACAGCCTGTTAATGAAACACCAGAAGCAAGCGACCGAAACAATGGTGAGAAAAGCCACAGTAGGAAGGATCTCAGGTTAGTTCTTCCTCTACTCAACGTGTAGTCTTCCGAAGACATAAGAAAATAAGTCGTATAAACTGGACTATTGTAACCCCAGTGAGCTCAACCAGGGAAAATTGCTGTTCGCATTTTGATATTTGGACTGTCTACGGTTGAGGTAGAAGAATCCCTGGAGCCCAAGAGTTCTAGGCTATCATTAGGAGACTCGGGGAACAAAAAAAAAAAAAATGAATTAGAAAAAAAGTGTGATAGGTGTGTGTCTGTAACTTGAAGCAGAGTCCCAATTATTCCTCCACACGTCCAACAGATGAATAGATAAAAGCATTTTTCTTTTCTTTGTTTTTTTTTGTTTGTTTTTGTTTTTGTTTTTTTCTAGACAGAATCTCTCTGTATAACAGTCCTGGCTGTCCTGGAACTCACTCTGTAGACCAGGCTGGGCTCAAATTCAAAGGATCCACCTGCCTCTGCCTCCTGAGTGCTGGGATTAAAGGCGTGTGCCATTATGTCCAGTTAAAGACTATTTGTTTACACATTTTATGTACGTGAGTGCTCTGTCTTCGAGCACACCAGAAGAGCGCATCAGATCCCATTACAGAACTCAGGAAACCTGGAAGAGCAGCTGATGCTCTTAACCACTGAGCCATCTCTCCAGCCCTCCAACCCGCGATAAAAGCATTTTTACAGTCTTCCTCACACATTTGTTAAACTACTCTGCAAAAACAACAATGCTAGTTTTTAAATAAAATTTAAAGTAAACAAATCAAAATTAATAAATAAACAAATCACTTGCCACTTTCAGTATGAGTTGACAGGGTTTAAATAAGAGGGTTAAATTTCTTGGGAAACAAATGGCAAACCCTGACAAAGTCAGTCATAAGTCAACCAAGTGAGACTGAGTCTGGTTTGGCAGCTGTGGTTTCAGTCCGCAGGCGCTGCTCCTACGCTGAGGAGCTGACGCTGAGTTCTGATCGCACTTTTTAAAAGTCTACCCTGATTACAAGATGGCATTTAGAATTTTATGTAAATTACTGTTCAATCGAGGAATACAGCCCTAAGGACCACAGTAAGGGACATTTCTGTAAATGTCTTAGAGACAGAAATGCTCCGAGCATTTCTGAAAAATCTAACACATTTCAGACCAAAGCACAAATGTTTGTGAAGTCATTTAAGATGATATTTTGATATTAAAACACGTCAAATATAAAAGGTGGAGGCAGAGGCTTGAGAGACAATGCTTTCTTACAGGGGACCTCCTATAATTCCAGTTCCAGTAGGTTCCTGTGTCAATGTGACATACATACAAACAAGCAGGTACAAACATATACACATAAACAAGAAATATTTTTATAAAGGTAGAGGGGGAAATAAAGAAAATTTTTTTAGCTAAAAAATTCTAAACAGCAGGGCTGGAGAGATGACTCAGCAGTTAAGAGGACTGGCTGCTCTTCCAGAGGACCCAAGTTCAACTCCCAGCACCCACATGGTGCATCACAACTGTCTGCAGCTCCAGATCCAGAGGGGATCTGAGACACCCTCACATACATAACACTAGTGGACATAAAACAAAACAAAAAAATAATAAATAAATCTTTGAAAAAAATTCTAAAAGGCAAGAAGCAAAAGTTAAAAAAATAAGAAGAAATAATGTTGAGGTGTATCCCACACTGTAGAGGCTTAAAATAGTGGGACCTTTACTGGAGGTAAGAGAATGCGGTCAGAAAGAAGAGGTTGCAGAGTGGATGGGAACTAAACCCACAAACGGGAGAAGAAAGTAAATAAAGAAACTGCAGCTGGAGGTCACCAAGCCGTACTACACTTCCCTTTTGCCTATACCGTTATCCAGCAACCCCAACCAGAGAGAACACGTCGGGGAATGAGAACCCAGGGGGAATGGTTCCCATGGTGGTCCAAACTGACCATCTGAGACAGGCTTTGGGTGCGTCTCCCAGGATACCCACTTAAGGAGTATTACGTGTGTGGTGCTTCTGTCAGTGGCATACAGAACAAGCAGAGAGCCCTCGAAAGATAGTGCACCTCTAACAGCATCAAATCAGCCAGTGACAAAGAACACACAACCAAACATCATAGCCCAAACAACAAATAAAATCTGAAAAAGCACAGGATAGCTGACCCCTGAACAACACAGATTTCAAATGCCGAGGGTCACTTAGAAAAGGATTTTTCTTTTTCTTCCTCTTTTTATTCTTTTATGGAGATTTCTTTTGAAAGGGAGAATATGGATGAAATTACATTTCATGCAGACACAAAAAGCCACAATTCTGTCTTTTTAAAACAACGTTGTTATCTGTGTGTGTGCGCGTCATGGAACTCACGGAGACTTGGTCCTCTCGCTCACCGTGTGAGTTCTGGGGTCCTGTCAGGCTTCTGACAAGCACTTTAATCTCAAGTCAGCCCTCCTACAACACATAATTCCAGCGCCTCACTAACACCCACGCTTCACTTTTACTTCTCTGAAACATGGCTCCTGGCCCTAAGTGTGTCCCTGCCACAGCAGTACTAGCACAGTGGAGAAAAGAACAGCTTGAAACCGGGCTCTGGATGTAGACGATACCCCCGCCGTCGCCCTCTATCAGGGCAGCACACCTAGGAATGTGGTGCACACACCAACAAGCAGGTACAGGCAGACACCTAACCTGAGGACCAGATCAGTAAAACCCACAAGCAGCAAAATTAAATAGTTATGAATGTCAATCTGTGGAAAAGGAAAAACAAACAAACCAGAAACAAAAAGCAAATAACAGCAATAAAAGGGAAAACAGCTGGGAGGGAACAGGACAGGCTGGGACGGGGAGCAGGCTGTCAGCTCCTGAGCAGCTGAGCCTGGCGAAGAAACAGTTTGAGCACAGCAAAAAAATCACCTGGCAAAGAACGCGGCTGTGAGAAGAAGGCTGCACCTGACCGAGCTAGTAAAAGCAATTACATTTATTTTCTAACTAAAAACATAATCATCTCCAATCACATTTACTGATATGGAAAGCATTTTTAAGGTTTTGTTTTTTAAATGTGAATATCATTGTTCTGAACTCCAGTTTTCTCACTTTAAAAACCATAACAAGAAGTGCAGTCGGCTTACGCGTCTGAACAGTAGGTGGCACAGCGCACGGATCTGGAGTCAGCTGCTACAACAGAGCCTTCCTCCAAAATTCTTATACAACATTCATTCACTTAAAATTGCTTAGACATCCTAATTTGAAAATAAAAACTTTTAAGTAATATGAAAATACTTACATCTCAATTTGTCCAGCATTTTTCCACCACACATGGTTGCTAACATAGCTTTAACTGAAAATACGGTCAACTTGCCTCGGCCCTCACTGCAAAATAAATATTAGAAATAATTGCTATCTGGAACCACAAAAACAATCAAACGCATCTCTAAATACTGAGCAACTAAAAAATTGATTCCTGCCCTTACACGCTTTAACTCTACCACATTTATAAACTCTGGTTTCTCATCCTTTGTAGAAGTAAGGTTCACCTATAATTGGCAGAGACAGCTAAAGCTAACAGGTCACCTGAAGGCGAATTTTACAAACAGCTTGTAATCTCTGTTGACCTGTAGGAATAAACCAAATGGATGAGCCGGAATCAACTTTCTTATTAAAAAAAAAAAACAAAAAAAAAACATTAAATCTATAGCCGGAGCAGTAGTAAGTGGTCAAAATTGAAAGAGCACACAGTTTAAATATAATTTACAAATATGCCCTAACATCAGGATAACGGTGGTTTATTATTACACCAGGCACACGCTGCTATGAAAATTTCATAGTATGTCTATCTTTGTTTATCTTCTAACAGTCTTCAAGTAACAATGTTAAGTACTTATTCTTCCATACACCACTGTGAGGGAGTGAAGGGGAAGGTAACCCTGGTCCTTTAGGACGGAAAGAAGAAAAGGAGAACGTAATGAACGCTAAGCAACATCACCAGAGCATCATCCTTTCAGCCACACCAGCTTTCACTGCAGATAAAACACTTCATCAGCTGGTTAAAGTCAGCACCTGAGGTCAACAGTGAGCCTTTGGGGATATTTTATAAAGTCTATGATCATAAAGCTTCACGGTAACCTAGAGTAAAACACCACCTTTGCAGCAAAGAGAGATTACCATGTTGTTTTGAAAAAGCAAACGCCCCGTTATACTCTATAGAGCACAGAGAACGTTTCCCAGACTGGGGATACAGCTCATTGTAGAGCGAGCCTTAGCGAGCCTGAAGCCCTGATTCAATCTCCAGTACAGGAAACACAAGAAAACACAGTGCTCCCCCCGCTCCTGAAGTTCCTTCCTTGTATCTGAAAGTTCACATCCAAGAACATGGTCTGCACTTCATTTTAATTACAGCTGTGTTCTTAACTATAACATCGCATAGAGCTTATTCATAAAACAACAAACCCTGTAACTATCTAAAACAAGGAATGGGTTTTTATAAATATATAATTCTTCAGAAATAAAGACAGTGTTCTATACATAAGGAATATGGGTCTGGAATGACGAGAAATTCCCATCAAGCAACCATTCCATTGTGCAAGAAAAGGCAGCGTCTAAAGAATCGTTACTGAAGTTTAAAAAGGGTACTGTCAAAAAAATGTAGATGAAGTCTTCCCAGTCCACGGCAATTTGGAACTCATTCTGAAGTCCAGGCTGGCTTTGAACTTAAAGCAATCCTCCTGTGTCGGTCTCCCAAATGTTGGGATTTCAGGCATGCACTACTACACCCAACACAAAATGGATTTTCAGAAGGATCAAAACCATCCCTGGATAAAACATAAAAGTCAAACCAGGGGCATAAGAACTGAAGGTGAGAGCCTACGGATGCTGAGGGAGCTGGGCGCAGCTTAGAGCAGTGGTCCTCAACCTTCCCAACGCTGTCACCCTTTCACACAGGTCCTCATGTTGTGCTGACCCCCAACCATAAAATTATTTTCGTTGCTACTTAGTAACTGTAATTTTGCTACTGCTATAGATCATAATACAAAGGATTTTCCAATGGTCTTAGGTGAGCTCTGCGTAAGGGTCATGACCCACAGGTTGAGAACCACTGGCCTAGTGCAAAAGCACAGGCCCTGGGAAATGTGTATGAAAGAATGCTATCCCCCTAGCCCATCACAACTACGGATCTCAAAGTGATTATTAACACAGTTCTGATGGGATAGAAAAGGAATTATTAAAAGTCTTCATGTGTCTGAGGTCATCTAGACAGAACAAGTAAGAGAGTTGGTGCAGAAACTGGGCCCTTAACAAAAGAGACAATACATACAGGGGAGGCAAGTAAAGGAGATAAAACCATCCCACTCTTTTCCCAAAGAATTCACACAGTCAAGAATCCTAGAATGACTGCTGAAGACAACACTTACCTGTGTCATTGAACTTGGAGAAGTAAAGCTAGTACCTAAGAACTAGAAAGTTTGCCTAGTATGAACTCAAATCCTCGGTTCAATTCCCAGGACCACATAAACCAGGTATGGTGGGTGGCACATATCTGTGATCTCAGCACTCAGGAGGTGGTGGGAGGAGTTTAAGGTCATTTAAAATAAATAAATACAAGAAAAAGTGTTATTCACAGCAAATAGTAAAGCCAGGATTGGCTGTTATCTATATAGGAGGCTTTGAGGCTCTAGGTTGGTGGCCAGCCTGAACGCAGTAAGAATCTGTCTCAAAAGAAATATAAAGATGGGCTGGAGATGTAACTCAGTGGTAGAACACTTGCCTAGTAATCCCTAGTATTAAAGGGGGAAAAAGCAATGTACAGACAGAATAAAGTTAGTGCCAGAGTACAACCTAGCAAAATGCTACAACAGAGAAAGAAAGCAGAGCCAGAGAGAGATGGCTCAGTGGTTATGAGGTTATATTCCAGAGGATATGACTTTGACTTCCAGCACCCAAGACGTGGCTCACAACCATCTGTAACTCCAGTTTCAGGGAATCTGAGGACACTGCACACACATGGTGCACAGACACACATGCAAGCAAAACAACCACACAAATAAACTTTAAAAAAAAGAAAAATGTATTTTTGCATATGTACTGTACATGCAGAAACCATGTGTTTAGGGAGATCGAGGATAACAGCGTGATTCCACAACGGGAGGAGGCAAACAGACTTAACCAGAGAAGCTGGTCACTTCTCATTGGAAAAAGATTCGCAAGTCAATTACCCAAGAATCCAGTTTACGACTACAGGGGGAGTAACAGCAAATCAAACTCCAGACTGAAAATGGAAAATGAATATAAATAAAAGCAGAAATTAATGAAACTAAAAATAAAAATAGGAAAAAAATAAGAAAAATAAAGAGCTAGTGTTTGGGCAGATCACTAATTATATCAAAAAATCTTGAGCAAAACTGTGGAGAAAAAAGACACAAATTGCCAGATTAAGAATGAAACAGGGCAGGGCTTGGGAAAATGACGCCTCGAGTAAAGTGCTTCATCAGCAAGCAGGAGGGCCTGAATTAGGATCCTTGGCCCCACATGAGAAGCCAGCTATGGGGGCACGTGTCTGTAACCCCAGCGAGAGGAGGTGGGGACATGAGGATTGCTTCGATTCTGACACCATCGACCTGCTAGACAGACTGAAGGCTCAAATCCTTGGACTTCAGAAGCCAATTCCAAGAAGTAGGTAGGGAGTTAACATGCACGGCTGACTGACCCATCAGGGGTCCCTGTAACTTCTTCCATGGGTCTGACCAATTCACAGGATTTAGGGAAGCTTTTTATGTTCAGACATTTCCTCTCAGGGTACACAATGAGGAAAGCACATGAACTGAGGCATGTGAAATGATACAGAGGATCTGTGTAGGAATGGGCCCAGGGCTCTTATACTCTCCTTAGGCAATGAGTATGTCCAGCCATCCAGAGGCTCTCAAACTCAGTTCTCTGGAGAGTTATGAAGCTTCATTATATACACATGACTGGTTAAGTCATTGCAAGCTAGCATCTGACTCAATCTCTTTAATACCCAAGACTGGGGACCAAAGCTGCAAGTTCCAACTGTGATCACAGAGACGGGGCCCACTGGGCCCACTGGCAACTGGCTTCCATCCTGCGGCTGCCCAGGAGCCCATCAAGACTCATCTGATCAGAACAATAGACGTTCTCACCTAGGAAGCTGGGGACGATGGGAGCTATATCAGATATCCTTGTGACTTAGAAAGTTTGTCAGGAGCCAGCATCAAAGACAAAAGATTACCTCAGCAAGGGTATTAGGAGTTCGACCTCAGTGAGCAAAACAAAGACTAAACATAAAAACAGAAGATTCCCCTAGTGCCCACAGCTCCTAAACACTGTCAGGAGTGAGGGCACAGACCAAGATGCAACTCATTATTTCACAAATCTAAAGATCCTAAGAGAATATTTTTATAGAAGTCAACAAAATAGTTGTGTTTTCTTAGAGTTCTCCTTTAGAAGATATCTGAATATACTATTTGGATGACTAAAGCTCACCATTATTTTTTAAACTCTTCCCATTATTGTAATATGCATCCAAGGCTGAGAACTACCAACACAACAGTCAAGGTGCCTAGCTACATCTTACACATTCCTAACCCTAAAGACCTAGCATTTCTCCATAAATTAATCTCCCTAATGATCCTTGGTCTCAAATAGCCCTACTTTTCTCAGTATTTAGAATTCTTCAGTTGCACTGGAGAGATTGCTCAGTGGTTAAAACACTGGCTGCACTCCCAGAGACGCCGGGTTCAATTCCCAGCATCCACATGACAGCTCACATGCATCTGTGACCCCATTTCCAAGTGATGTTCAGCCCTCTTCTGGCCTCTGTGAGTACTGCAGGCACATGGTATACCAGACATGCAGACAAGCAAGACATAATATAAAATCACATCACATAAAAGAAAAATAAGTCGCCAAAACATTTTTAAAACCTCCTTTAGCTGTATTTATATATTCTCTCTCTTATTGTTTTGCAAATATCTTTTCGGCTCCAAATCTCACGTTCTCCCTTCAAAGAGACAAGATGACATCTATTGTTTGCTGAGGAACAGAAACTGAGGTCACCTGTACAGAGAAGGGAAGTGTAATCGTTCCCAACTATTAGCAAAAGAGACAGGTCAAGCTTCAACTCTTCAATAGAGGTGAACCGAACCTCCGTAAACTCAGCATGGTAACTCTTACCAATGCCAGGACATTTTACTTCAAAAAATTGTTCTAGTAATTAGCACTTATACACCATTTTTCTAATCTTCAAAACACATTAGAAACACTATTTTAGCCAGGTGATGGTGATGCATGCCTTTAATCCCAGCACATAGGAGGCAGAGGCAGGTGGATCTCTGTGAGTTCGAGGCCAGCCTGGTCTA